ACTGCACTTGACGAGACGGGCAGAATTCACGAGTCAGGAGGATCGAGAACCATTCCTGCTAACACGGTGAACCCGTCCTAACTAAATAAAAAAGTAGCGGGTGCGTGCGGCCTGCGCTGTGAGTCCAGCTACTCGGAGCTAGAGCCCCTGAAGAATGGCGGTGACAGCGGCGAGGCGGAGGCTTGCGTAGCCGAGATCCGGCACTGCTCCAGCGCTGGGCGCAGGAGCGTAGACTCCGTCTAAAAAAAAAAAAAAAAAAGGTATCTCTCCTGCTCAGCCTTTCCTGAGTAGCGTGGGATTACAGGGTGTGCCCCACACCGGCCAATTTTTGTATTTTTAATAGTAGAATGGGGTCACCCTGTTGGCCAGGCTGGTCTGCGAACTCCAGACCTCAAGTGAGGCCATTGCCTAGCCTACCAAAGTCGTTTGGACCTTATAGGGCATGAGCCACCGCACTCAGTCTTCAGTGTTGGCTTTAAAATTCTCTTCTCTTAGCTGAAGATTAACAAAATGTGGCAACCCTTCTTTACCATGAGTGTGAGGTTGGTTGTTGTGACCACATAAGGCGCATGTGAGGGCGGGCATGTGATGGTTCATGCCCTATAATTTCCAATATTTGGGGGGCAGGCAGGCAGTCGCGTTGATCTCAGGAGTTCCGAACAGCGTCACATGGAGAAACCCCATCTCTCCTAAAAATACGAAAATTGTAGGCTGACGGTGTAGTGGCACTTGTTGTAATGCCAGTACTTGCGAGGGCTGAGGTAGGAGAATCATGTTGCAAATGGGAGGGGAGCCCGGGCCGCGGGTGGCTCAAGCTGTAACCAGTTTGGAGGCCGAGCGGAGTGGCATCACGAGTCAGGAGATCGAGACCATCCTGGCGCTGAACATGTGGTGGAAACCCCGTCTTACTAAAATACAAAAAAACTAAGCCCGGGCGTGCGGTGGCCGGCGCTGTAGTCCAGCTCTCGGAGGCTGAGCGGGAGAATGGCGTGAACCGGGAGGCGGAGCTTGCGTGAGCGACGAGATCGCGCCACTGCACTCCCGCCTGGGGGGACAGAGCGAGACTGTTCAAAAAAAAAAAAAGAAAAAAAAAAAAAGAAACTGGGAGGCGGATTGCAAGTGGCCGGAGATTGTGCCACTGCATTCCCAGCCTGGGTGACAGGTCGGGAGATTCTGTCTCAAAAATAATAATAAATTAAATTAATATAATGTATTTAAAATAGCTGTTGATGGTGGCTCAGCCTTGTATCCACAACTTTGAAAGGCTGAGGGGTCGGCGGTGGTTGGTCATGCCTGTAATCCCAGCAACCTTGGGAGGCCAAGGCAGGGCGGATCATGAGGTCAGGAGATCAAGGACGCATCCCTGGCTAAACATGGGTGAAAAGCTCATCCCTACTAAAAATACAAAAAGAA